ATAATATAAAAAAAAATAAATATGATGTAAAATAAAGATCTGGCTTATCTTTACTGGTCATTACTTTGTGTGTACATGTAATGACATAAATTAGCTAAATAAAAGGCAGTTTCAGAAGCCTTTACAAAAGTTGTTAGAATGTTAAAGAAAACATAACCTATCCCTTATCAAAATCTGTACTTATCAAATTCGGTAGTAAAAATCAGAAAATGTCATGATTCCTCATTACAAGACGAGTAATAATCAAAAGTAATATATTAAATACATTATAATGGGAAAGAAAAATAAAAGCAATTCTAGTTTAGGTAAATCCTTAGTTAGAGATCGCTTTAGAGGTAGAAATGGAAAATTTGTGGCAGACAAATCCATGGTAAGCAATTAAAATGTAGATATAATGCAAAATTTGTACAGCATAATTTTTTTGAATGGATTACCAATGCTTCATTATTACAGCTACATACAACAGAACTACTGGATGGTTATGACTGGGGCAGATTGAACTTGCAATCTGTAACAGAAGAATCATCATTTCAAGAGTTTCTTTCCACTGCTGAATTAGCTGGAACAGAGTTTCAAGCTGAAAAGTTAAATATAACATTTGTCAACCCTAAATCAAATGTAGGATTACTATCTGATTCTGAAAAAATGACTAAAATTATTGCACATGAAAAACATAAACATCTTATTCAAATACCACGCAGGTAAGATACTACATAATTATACATTTAACATAAAATGAATGTTTACAAAAATAAAAAATAGGCCTTTCTGGACTCCCAAGATGTCTGCAGAAGAATTACAATGTTTAGAAAGAGATAATTTTTTGAAATGGAGACGTTCCTTAGCTGAACTTCAAGAAGAAGAAGGTTTATTATTAACACCGTTTGAAAAAAATCTAGAATTTTGGCGTCAACTTTGGAGGGTTATTGAAAAAAGTGATGTTATAGTACAAATTGTTGATGCTAGAAATCCTCTACTATTTCGATGTGAAGATTTAGAAAACTATGTGAAAGACATATCTGAGGATAAAGTAAATTTAATATTAATCAACAAAGCTGACTTTTTAACTAAAAACCAAAGAGAAATTTGGGCAAAATATTTTGAGTCAGTTGGAATAAGGATTGCTTTCTTTTCAGCAATAATTGAAGAAAAAAAGACCAATAAGAAAACTAATGAAGATAAAAATGAAACTCAAAACAATGCAGATTTAGAAACAACTAATGTTGAAATATTAAAATTAAAAGTAGGAAAATTAGAAGAAAATGTTGATAAAGCTGCAAATGCTCTTTCACACATTATTAATAAAGTAGAGAAACTACTAAACAAACCTAACAGTTCTGAAACTATTTCATTAGAGAAATCAGATACTGTAAAAAATCTTACTTCACATGAAGATAATGTTATAATCAACAATAATGGGGAAGCAACATCAGAATGTATAAATATTTTAACTTCCAGACCTCAAAGTCCTGACATTAGCAATTCACCTGAGATTTTAACAAGGGAAGAACTTATTCAATTTTTTAAGGTAACTCATTCAGGAAAGAAAGTAACTGAAGGTCTAACTACCATTGGTATGGTAGGATATCCTAATGTAGGAAAAAGTTCTACAATAAATAACCTAATGACAGTAAAAAAAGTGTCTGTATCGGCAACTCCTGGGAAAACTAAACATTTTCAAACATTATTTTTGGACAAAGACATTCTTTTATGTGACTGCCCTGGTCTTGTTATGCCTAGTTTTGTGTTTACAAAAGCAGAAATGATCATTAATGGAATTTTACCGATTGATCAAATGCGGGATCATGTGCCTCCTATTAATCTTATTTGTAACTTAATACCCAGACACATTCTGGAAGATAAGTATGGGCTGATGCTGCCAAAACCTCTGGAAGGTGAAGATCCAGAAAGGCCTCCTTTTGCAGAAGAACTATTAAATGCTTATGGCTGTAAGTTATTTTAATTCCTTAGACATATATATTTTCTACATTATTTTGTTTTAGATAATAGAGGTTTTATGACAGCTAATGGTCAGCCTGATAATCCAAGAGCTGCAAGATACATATTAAAAGATTTTGTAAATGGTAAACTTCTTTTTGCTCATGCACCACCCAATGTTAATCAAAATGAATACCAAATTTGGCCTCAGAGGAAAAATAATGGGTGTATAAATAGAACATTGCCACCCAGACAAGCAAGAGCCATCAGGGTTTGTATATTTCAACTGCATAATGAAATAATAATAAAACAACTATGATGTTTTGTAGTCTAACAGAATAACAAGTGAAGATTTGGACAACTCTTTTTTTTACTCAAAAACACAAGGTTTACATGTGAAGGGCCAAATAATTCCTAATATTGGAGCAAATCATATAATTAGGCAAGTTTGTATGTTATATTGTAGTAGTATTCCTTGTATAATTTTACCATTTACAGGGAAGCATCTCTTGAGTCACAACAGTCCTTAAGATGTGATAAACCTTGGAAAAAAATTAACAAGTATGAAAATAAGAAAAAAAGGGAAAAATTAAGACGAGTCTATGCTCATTTAGATGAACATTAATTACAAACCAACCGAATGAATGAATTTGTTTTTCCTTGAAAAAGAAAATAAATATTGAATTACTTTGCTAAATTGTTTTAATGCAACAATTAATTTCACAAAAAAGGAACCATATTTCCAACACATACTGATAATGTTATTATATTTTGATAAATTTTAAATTCTATTTGATTAATGTTTTAAAATTTATGTANCTTTTTAATACTTATTGCTGTTGGTTTGTTTTTGGAGGAAACAATTAAATAATATAAATAATTCAGACTGTAGCAATTCACTTTTCATCGACAATTTAATTAATTTTGGGAAAAATCCTAATATTTTGCAGAGGTATATTTCAGCATTTGTTTTACTTAATTTTATGTTTTTCTCATTTTTAGAAAACTAGAAATTGATGGTACAGTTAAGTATCCTCTTCCATGTTTACGTAATCTACTTGAGATATATCTTGAAGACTGTTTAAGTTTAATTACTAAACATCAAATATTTATTTACACATTACTAGATATTACGGAATATTTGAGCGAGGAAGGGTAAAAATTACTTTTATGGGTAACAATTTTTTTTGTATATAATTTTTTTAAGGATATATATTTTGCAGTTACAAAACGGTTAAAAAACAATTAAAGATGTTTGCAGTAGTTTTCAAAATACCTGCAACAGTTACTAAAGTGGTAGAAGCTTTCTGGCAATTGGATCATGGAAATTATTATGTAAGTAAAAAAATAAATAAATCATGTTTCTGGTATTTTCCTTTTCCTTTTTTTTTTTCTTAGGATGCTGTTAATAAACTACTGGATCCTTGTATTCGTCTGGAAGATATTGAAATGTGGCAACATAAAATTTTATTGCAAGCACTGATTACTCATAATCAATATAAATTAGGTCTTTTGTATTTGCAGGTATTTTTCATTTAATTTTATCAAGTTTTATTCTATTATATACAATTTTAGATTAAAAAACCACCCCTTTTACAAGAAAACGACCTCTATTTACTCATATCTTTATACATTTCAAATAACATGCTGGGTGAGGCGTATCATTTTCAAAAAAGTAGAAGAGTAAAACATGGTGATATCAAATTAATTAGGCACTTTTTCGAAGGTGCGAATTACATATTCTTTCAACGTATTCTTTATAAAATTTGAATTTTTTAGAATGTGTGAATAAAAATAAAATTGTTGGTCTACTTGATATCTCACTAACTGCGAATGAAGAAAAGATATTGATTAACTATCTAAATGAAATACAAAATCCACAACTTAAACATTTAAAAACATTATTTCTCCTACAAAAATGGAATTATAGGCATACTGTGGAAGATGAAATTGCAAACAATTTTTCTCCAAAGGGGAAAGAAATTATCAATGCAGAAACTTCTCCTAGAATGTAGTTTTTTATTTTTATTTATTTTTTTTTATTTTATTATTTACAATGGAACATTTCAGATGCTTGTCTGTTACTTTTTATCCGCAAATTCTTGATGGAACGTGTGAAAATATAATAATAAAATGCCCAATTGCACAAAAAGAACAAAGCTTAGATGCTGATACATCCCACAAAAATGGTATAAGTCAACGTTTAATTATGTCAGAAAATGTTTCATCTGAAAATATTTGTTTTACACCGCCTAGTATTTTAATAGTAAGTTGTAAAGAGCATAATATTTTTTAAAAGCCGACTAAAAAAAGGATTTTTATTTCAGAAAACGAGGAAAAACTGCTCAAAAAATAGTTCAAGTACCAAAAGAAAAGGATTAAATTTCTCACCAAATCTTCGTAAGGTATGTTATAATAAAAAACTGATCTGTTTTTTTATATTTTATACTTATTTTTCCTTTAAGAAGAATGCTAGTGAATTAGTGGATGGTATGGTTCAAAGTACTTCAAAAAAATGCTGTCCAAGTTGTGATAATATTCATGGTAATAATTTATCAATACAAATAAGTCCAACAAAAAATCAATTTGAATTAGATGTTAGCTCCAGTGATTTAAAAAATGTAACTAAATGTGAAATTAATGAAGAATATCTCATCAACAACGAAAATGAAGTTTTGAGAGAAATTAATAATAGCATGGGCTTCTCAAATAAAGATATAGAAAGTGGTTTTTTAACTTCACTGAATCAAAGAGTTGAAACTTGTGACATTTTGAATTCATCTTGTGTAACAGAATTTGAATGTGTTCCAAACGAAAAAGAAACCTCCAATAATCAGTTTCATGATTTAGATAAAATACTTATGAAACCTAATGATCAAAAAAATGATGAAAAGTCTGAATTCGAAGTACAAATCATTAATGAAAATGACGATGAAAATTCTGAAATAGTTTATAATGTAAATACTTTCATAGAGAATAAAGAAAATTTAAAAATTGGTACAAATCTGGAATTTTGTTCAGAACCAATAAACAATGAACAGGAATTTTCAAAAACTAATGTTCATTTCAAACATAACATAAAAGATGTTGAAGAAAATGAAATATACTATGATCATGATAAAATGATGATTGAGAAACTATCTTCTGATTATGAGAAAGACAAGTTAAATAATTTAACTGAAAATAACTGTAGCAGTAGGTACCAAAATAATAAACAGACTTGTTTATGGAATTCATTATCTAATGAAAAAAAGCAGAAACGTTCTAGAATAAGCAGGAACAAGGAAAATAACAGAAAATCTGTTTCGCTAATCCGTGTTAAAATATCGCCAAGAAAAGATTATCACAAAGATCAAAAAAGTAAAAGCGTAATGAAAGAAAAAGCTATAACTTTTAAAACTAACAAAAATACCGTTTATCAAGAACATAAAATTCATAATAAATATTCAAAGGACAGTTTCGAGCAGAGTATTAATGTAGATACTATTTATGAAGCTGGAAAACAGTTTAGGACAAATTATTCCAATTCATCTTTTAAAGAGAGGAACATAGAAAGACTTTCAACCCGTGTTCGCTTAACACCAAAAAAAGGAAAAGAAAAAAGCAAAAACTCGGCAGTTTCTCTTATTCGTCTTCGAGTAACACCTATAAAAGAAATAAAAAATGATATACTTGAAAATACAGAATCAAATAAACAAATAAATGCATCATTTCCTCAGTCGAAACAATCAAATAACGAAAAATTAACGATATCAGCTTGTAACGAAAGCAAAATAGAGTTTAAAATTAAAGGAAATTCACCAGTACCAGGAAAATTAAAGTATGAAAGTACTGGCATATTAGTAGCAAATGAAACTGAGAAACAAAATTTAGAAATTAATTCTGAAAAGCCACAAAAGAAAACGAATGAAACTTCTGCTTGTAATGTTACTCAAGGTAGTATAAAATCTCCTGATAAAATACAAAAAATATATAATGATTTTCTTTATGCTTTTACTTACGAACAAAAAAATCCTAAATATTCAAATGGTACACAAGAACACTCACATGAGTCTTTAAATAAGGTAACGGAATCTGAAGAAGAAATTATTATTAAATATAAAAAAAAAGGAAACCTGAAAGGTTCAGCTTTCATTGATAAAACCGTAAGTGATTTTAAGGGAATAAATGTTGAAATTT